CGACTTGTCCTTGCAACGTCCTCGGATGCAAGAATCTTCTGAAGAAGCAGGACCAAGTAACCCCAGCAATCCAAACAAGCCTAACAATTCGACCTCCGCCAATCCGACTTTTCCTTCCCATCCTCATCCTACCCGGATACATTTCCCAAATCCTAATATCAACACCCAGCCTCATATCAACGCCCAGATTCTAAACACCAACAGCAGAGCGAATGTTAAGACGAGCCTAAATCTTAATAATGCTATAGCAGGAAGCTCGAAGGATACCAATACGAGTGTTCGACGGAGAGTTGTTTCCGTCGATGCTGGGAACCCGTATGGTTCACTGAGAAGTACTAGGAGCGGATTCGGAACGAGTGGTATGGTTATGGGTAGGAGAATGCCTACAATGAGTATGGGTGCAACGGGGACCTCTGGACGCCGTGTGGCTTCTTTGGAATCGACAGATAGTAAAGAAAGCCAACCAGATTCTTCGTCGGCAGATTCGGGATGGGGAATGGGTACGTTCTCTGACGAGTATGACTTATGTGCGTAGTTGCTCTCAATGATATTCACATTCAAGCTCAAGCCTTGTATTGATATTGTTCAGCTCATGAAGGCAGGTCATTATCCTCGATGATTACCAATTAAATCATACCAATGATTTACGCATAGATCCAAGAATCCTACAAGACGTTCAACGTGCGTTAAAGCTGAAGCACAGACGTGAGGCTCGAAGAAAATCTGGACAACTTGATGGTCCTGTTCCCGCTCCTGGAACAGGATCTCTGACCACGAATAGGCCATCATCTCCTCTGAGATCCAGTGTCTTTTCTTCTAGTACGAGTCCTACACCCGTCACAACAACAGACGTGACTCCTTATTCGTCTGCTCCGTTGGCTCCTTCGTCTACAACCACCCCCTCCGCACCTACAGCCTCCGCTATCTCAACTCTCACCGCACCCTCCACAACAGATATCGACTTCAGTCCATCCACCGGCCCTTCCGTCGTCCGGGTCCGGGTCGATCCTCATCGACGACTGCACCCCGTACCCCTCTCGAACGACGGTGGTGAAACGTTAGATTGGTCAGGTTCGGGCTTAGTACACGGGTACGGCTCCGAAGACGAGAAGAGTGAGAAAGCTGAGAAAAGTGAAAAGAGGTGGTCATTGAGCGTGTCGAGGAGGGGCAAGGAGAAGGATAAGGATAAGGAAAGGGAAAGGGAATTGTTACCAAGTGCGGAAGATTTGAAGAGCTTGGAAGGATTGTATGTCGGTGCGGTGTTCAATTCAAACCCACCTCCGTTTCTCCCTGTTGACCCTTTTCTTTTCTTTTTTTCGTTTGCCAGCTAAGCTTTCTCGGATAAAATCTGCTTCATCCCAATCTACGAGCAAGAAGGTCGCTATCACGGCGGATCAAATCGGTCGACGGTATAACTTGATATATTCTTCCCTCTTAACCCCTGGCTCGACTCTACTACCCAACCACCAATCTGATATCACTACTACCACTGCTTCTGCTTCTTCTGCTTCCGAGACCGATATCAAGGAGCTCAACCTCCTCAAAGTATCCAAATGGTACTCTGCGCAAGATCCTCTCGTGCGTTCATCGTTGGAAAAGGCAGAACCGTTCATCTGGTTAAAGCATCTCGAGAAGAAGCGGAATCTCAAACAACCGAAAGGGGAGGAAGGTCAAAAAGATAAAACAGGAGGGGAGGAAGACAATGTCAAGGAAGATCTTACTGCTGCTGCTACTACCACCACTACCACTCGACTGCCGTGGCATTTATCTGCTTTGATCATGGAAGAATACATCCTCGCTCAAAGCGCCAAGAATCATTCCCACTTCCCTGCTTTTCCCGTACGGAACATCCCCCATCTTCATCCTCCGCCTAAATCCACAAACTCGACGCCCTACGCTGCTCGCTCCATGCGTTCTATACCAGAACATCCCTCGTCTCCGGATTCTACTACCCATACCCATGATTTCGGCAAAGATTACGCACTGGGTACTAATACGCCATCGCCTCCTGACGACGGAGGAGGGGGAGGTACCAGGAGTTTCAATGACTTATTACTCGCGTTCATACCTTCTGGGTATTCCACTCCTTCTGCATATTCCGCATTTTCACCCCCTTCCGTATATTCGAATTATTCCCCTCCTTCAATTTATTCCACACATTCTGCTCCTGCTCAATCCCAACAATCCCGTTCTGCCCCGTACACACCCCGCACTCCTTACGCTCATACTCACACTCCCTACACTCACGCTCACACTCACTATTCTCCTTACACACTTTTGAACAACAACAACGACAACGACACTACATCTCCACCGTCGCCGCAACACGGTCGGATCTCCTTCGAACCTCTACTCGATCCCCCGTCTTTCATGACTCATCCCTCGAATGAATCACGACGGAGTTTCGAATCGACGTTTAGTAGTATATTCAGCTCCGGAGGAGGAGGAGGAGCAGGTGGTGGTGGAGGTGGTGGTGGTGGTAGTGGTAATACCAACACCAACACCCCCGCTCCAGGCGGCGCAGGATTCTCCTCCCCCGCAAGCAGCCGAAGCCGACTACATATTCGAGATAGTTTCGGGTTGCGAAAACCCAGATCGACGACGACGACGACGATGGCGGCGACGGCCGCTGCTGCGGCGAATGCCAATGCCAATGCCAATGAGAGCGATGACGGGAACGGGTATGGATCGTCCGCGAGGAATTCGGCTACGGATCAAAGTGACCATGGGGGGGATAGAAGGGAGGAGTCGTTCGTCCATGCGGAATCTGAGGAACCGGAAACCGCTTTTCCTGGTCCGTCTACCGCTTCTACTCCGGGTGATTCAGGCGTAGTAAGACCGGGTTCATCTCGTGGTATGAACCTTGTTCGTGCGACTCCTTCTCCGAATGCTGTTGGTTCGAACCTTATTCCCAATACCACATCCCGGACAACCACGGCCACAGCCCCAAACACCCGTAACCACCACCTCCGCCCTCTGCGTTCGCTCCGAAATCGAAACTCGTTACCGATAACTGAAGAAGAGCGGATAACGTTAGCGATGGAACGAAAACGGAAACAAGAAGCGGATGAGGCGAGGGAAGATATGGAGTATGAGTTGAAGGCACAGTACGTTTTTGCTTGTTCTTCTTTGATTTTTGATTTTTCGGTTTTTTGATTGTCGGATTTTTGATTTTTTGATTTTTCGGATTTGGATTTTTCTTTCTTGTTTCCTTTTTGGGGTTTTGGGTTTTGGGTTTCCCCTTACCCCTTTCTCTTTTCCCCTTCGCATTGCTGTTTTTGGTTTTCTGTTTTCGGGTTTCCTTTCCTTTTCTGTTTTCCGTTCCTTTCCTTTTCTGTCTTCCGTTCCTTTCCTTTTCTGTCTTCCGTTCCTTTCCTTTTCTGTCTTCCGTTCCTTTCCTTTTCTGTCTTCCGTTCCTTTCCTTTTCTGTTTTCCTTTCCTTTCCTTTTCTGTTTTCCTTTCCTTTCCTTTTCTGTGTTCGTTTTTTTCTCATGTTCTTTTCGTTCCTTCTGTCGTTCCGTTTTCCTTTTTCATCCTCCCTTTCTACTTTCCTTTTTCATTTCATTCCATTCCCATCTTTTCCTTGTTCTTGTTCTTGTTTTTCTTATTTCCTTTCCGGGAACATTATTTGTGTTCAACTAAACCCAACCTCTCGTCTAGACTCGTTGCCTCATGCAAGGACTCCAACGCCCACATCCGGTCCGTGCTCAACCACATTGCGCAACATATGCGTGAGTATGAGATGTGTCAGGCTAGTTTCATCGCGGGAGAAAGTCATACAGGCGCCGAAGGGGGAGGGGAAGGAAGAGGAAGAGGAGGGTTCGGATACACGGCTATCTCACCGGAGCTTTTCGAAGCATTCAGCCACGACCCGGCGAACGTGACGAGTTCGACGAAGAGACTGAAGACCTATCGCGCGGTGGACGATATCCATCATCGGCTGACCAGGCAGAGGGCGGTGTTTGCAGAGTTTTTAGAGCATAATACTAATAAGGATAAGGATAAGGATAACTTGGATAAGGACAGCGGAGATATCCTCAAATCCCCTATTGAAGACTTGATGAGGACGTTGAAGACATTGGAGAAACACAGAATGGGAGTTGTTGAGCGGGAGAAGGAGGTGTTGGGGATGTTGAGAGAGACACAGGTGGTGCATGCGGAGGTTAAGAAGGAGTATAATGGTACGTTGGCGCATACGAGTGTTGTTTATCCCGAGGTGGGTTTTTTCGAGAAGGAAGGGAAGTTTTAACGATACTCGTCTGAATATTCTTTACACTGTAGCTCTCACAAATCGTCGCTCTGGAGGAAAGTTATAAAGACCAATACCAACACCTCTGGGACATCGGGATGGACGCACTGACCTTCATCCTCGACTCCGTGACTCCCTTCTGGAGGAGCTACGGGAAACTGATCGGGGACGACGTGCAGGATTTCCTGATCATCCCGCTGTACCGGAACGAATTCACGGGCGAAGCCAAACGGTACCCTGTGCTCCGTGTTCCCGTGCGGTCGCTCCGCCACTGGCTCGGCCTGCTTGGGTTTTTCGTGCTGTCGGTGGGGGTGCTGGTGGTGCAAGCGCGGACGGCGGTGGGGTGTGTGGGGAATTACAGGCTGGAGGGGTGGTTGGAGGAGGGGGGGTTGAGGTGGGTGAGGTGGGGGGTGGTGATTCCGGTGTTTTGGGGAGGGATTTTGGTGCAGTGGATGGCGGTGGTTGGGGAGGGGGTGGTGGTGGTGATGCAGGTGGGGACGGTGATGTGGTGGGTTGGGTGGTTGGTTGGGGTGTTTGATTGAGGTGTTTTTTATGTTTTTATGGGGTTTTTTTTTCTTTCCTTCTTTGGTATTTTCATCGGAAGTTTTTAAAGTCGCATTTTGTATACGTCATTCGCATTGGATATCGATACCATACCTTGACCTTTCTGTTTAGAACTTATAGAGACACAATTGATCATCAAAGAAGCACAACACCAAAAACACCCAAAAAATTCCTCCTTAATTCTGCATTCCGACACGGGGAATCGAACCCCGGGCTATCGCGCTTTCAGTTATGCTTCACCAATACATGAGAGGCGATAATGTTAGCCACTACACCATATCGGATTATTATTGAGGGAATGGAAGGAAATAAATAAATGGATGGTGAGGTGTGTTGAGGTGTGCTGAGGTGGGGTGGTGGAACTCCTTTGTATTGTAGGAGGTGTTAAGTTTTCCTGATATGAAATGAGATGAGTTGGGTAAATACAGCTTTGACTTGTGAGGGAGTGGGATTCGTAGATAAGGCAAGCCGATGACGACGCGGGAATAAAGCTAAAAGCGACTGATGTCATCACGAAGATGGAATATAACAAGCGCTTGATTTTCTCTCCTTCCACCAAAGTCACGATGACGCATCCAACGATCTACGAGCTAGTACAGTCCCAAACGACGATCAGCAGCGAATACGCACGGGATCCTACCGAAGAACCGGGAAAGATCGCTAAGAGATTGTATGAGCATGTGAAAGATACCACAAACGAGCCAGCTGTTGAACTCGGAAATTTTGGTGCTACGACTCCCAGTCCCCTGTTCCAATCCATCTATCAATCAATTCTCCGGAACCTTGCAGCGTCGGGGGATGCGTTAGCCGGGATGGTGTCGCCGCCGCTCATCGCAACGTCCGGCGTCGTCCCACTCACTATCATCGCGCCTCTTCCTGATATCGTGAAACACATGTCGAATTGCATCGTGCGTGCGCAGAAGGAGGTGTTTCTTGCTACGAATTTCTGGATCAACAGCGATACATCAAGGCTTGTCACTGATGCCTTTAGGGAGCTTAATCGTCGAGTTGGAGAGCGTGGTGGGGGGGAGAAGGTGGTGGTGAAGATGTTGTATGATAGAGGAAACGTGAAACAAGCGATTACCCATCATCAGCATGTTCCCCCAGCTACGTATACTGGACCGAAAGTGAACCTTCCTGCGCCGGAGGAGATCCCGAATATTGAGATGCAGGTGGTCAATTACCATGTCCCGCTCGTCGGGACGTTTCATTCCAAATTCATGGTCGTCGACCGCGAGGTGGCGTTGTTGATGTCGAACAATATCCAGGACAATGATAATCTGGAAATGTGTATGAGGCTGGAAGGACCAGTTGTGGATTCGCTGTATGATGTGTGTTTGGCATCGTGGAGTACGACGCTGGAGCCACCGCTTCCGTGTAGGGATACTCCGGCGGCGGGGAAGCCGTTGCCGTCGTACGCTGACCCCGAGTTCCTCGCCCTGTTCACGGAGGATTCTACGACTGAATCCGTTTCACTCCCTTCCGTTGTCCAAGCCGGGCATGAGTCCCTCGATCTCCCGGAACACCTCCCAGGGGACCCACATTACGACGCCACCATCGCAGGTGAGATCCGCAGGATCCAAGCCTCCTACGCCCCGAAATCAGGAGAAACCCATCTCCAAGCCGTCTCCCGCCATTTCAACGTCACCCCCGCCCAGAAAGCCGACGCCGGTGTGCAACCCACTGCTCCGGAACCTCCATCAGACTCCCTAGTCCCGTTCGCCGAAATGACCCCGTACATCCCACTTCCCCCATCTGCCTTCCCCGGTCCCCAAATCCCCACCCCTATCCCAATGCTTATAGCTTCCCGCGCTCCACTAGGCACTCCCACGTTCTCCGTCCCCCATGCGGTGCGCTATCCCCAGAATGTGGCGTTCCTCGAAGCGGTAAGGGGAGCGAAGGAGAGGATATTCATCCAGACGCCGAATTTGAACGCGGAGCCGCTGTTGCCGGAGTTGGTGGGGGCGGTGAGGAGGGGGGTGGAGGTGGAGGTGTGGGTGTGTTTGGGGTATAATGATGCGGTGGGTGTTTTCAAGGCTTTGAGGTAATTGTGCTGATAGTGTGTGTGTAGGGAGAGTTGTTGCCGTATCAGAATGGGACGAATGAGATGATTGCGAATAGGTTGTATAACGATCCGGGGCTTCTCCAGCCTACATCCAACGACGAAGACGACGATGCCGATGCCGACGCTACTCACCCACAGATAGACTCCGCAGAATCACTCACACTCACAGAGGAAGAAAAATCCCGGTTGAAGATATACAACTACGTCGCAAAAGACCAGGATAGACCCATACATAATAAGTTTAAGAAGAGGAGTTGTCATAGTGAGTTTCCCTCTCCTTCTGTATTCCTCAAAGTCAACACTCACCCCCCTCCACTCCACTGTAGTAAAACTCCTCATCGTCGACTCCCACCTCGCCATCCAAGGCAACGGGAACCAAGACACCCAGACCTGGTTCCATTCACAGGAAATCAACATCCTCCTCGATTCCCCGGAGGTGTGTCGGACGTGGATGGAGGGTATCAGGAGGAATCAGAATACCGAGGTGTATGGGAAGGTGTCTATGGTAGATGGGTGCTGGCATGATCCGGTGAGTGGGGAGATGGTGGACGGTGCGATTGGGGTCGATCCCGGGAGGTTCTCGTGGGCGAGGGGGATGGTGGGGGCGGTGCAGAGGGTTAGGGGGGCTGGGGGGTTTTAGTCTCAGGCTTTGGGGTGGGGGGAATGGGTACTGGGTTCCGCTTATTGAGAGTCGATGGACGCGCATTTCCGTATCGTATTGATATCTGTGTATAGTGTATAAAGATTTCCGAGGGACATGTTATATATGTAAAATCAGACTCCAGCTGAGCCTGCACTAACACTGAAGCCCGTGAATGGTATGACACAATGTCTCCCTGGAACACCGCAAGTTGAAAGTCGAGGGCCCTCTTTGGCAAGAGCTGACTACTCGATACAAAATTTTGCTGTTGAATCAAGGAAAGGCACTAACAATGATAATAAACCTTTGAACCACGACACTTCAAATTCATCTGCAAAACATGTATTTTCGATTCGTATTAGCTAAAACTAAAACTCAAAGGGGCACTTTATAGTCTGATATAGTGCCACTTGTAATTAGAAAACGTACACCGGATTCATCATGATCAGAATCGTGTTTGTGGAGATGGAGCGGTTTCACTGCATGAAATCAGCGACTATCAGCGAATGCCCTCAAGTCATGAAACAAGGTCAGGACAACATTTGACGCAAAATGCGACACGAGGGCCGTCCGACACTGAAAGGTCCGATTTTGAACGCTAAATGCCAGATGACCATAGTTCTCGAAATTAGAATGACCATGTGAAACCGGAAAGAAGCACCAAGTTCGTTCAAAGCGCAGTGATTCATGTACTTCAAGCTATAAATCCATTATGTACAGAGCAACCAAGATATATAGATAGTAGATAGCTAGTGATGATGATGCCAAGAAGCATTGAATACCAAAGATATACCTACCAGGTGAGAGGTAACGAGGGCCCAACCAGGTCCGATAGATCTACTTGGGCCGGCACAAGCAAGAATCCATTCAGAAGAAAAAGAACACTTTCAAAAACCACGAACGTCTGAAATAATCAGACTCTCGGAATCCAATGGGCCCGGGAGGGGATGCAACACGATTTCAAGGTGTAATCCACCAGCCCTCAATGCATTCGCTTGTGTTTCGGATATGAGATTTCCGCCTGCGGCATCGCGGCCTTTGATGGCGCAGTTCTTCAAGGGGAGGACATTTGTACTACTCGTGGGGTCTGCCACGGTTGAGTTCAGATTCGATTGCAGCCGAGACTCGAGCATGTCGAGGAGATCAGCTGTGTATCCATTTGTATGAACGCACAAAGTCTCGAGATGAGGGAGGAGGACATATGACGAGCTTTCCGGGGACCGAATACGCAGGGCCTGAAACATTACGTTCCCACTGTGCCCAGCATCGTAATATTTAGTGTTGAATTTCAAAGATAGGTGTGTGACAGTGGGAGGAAGGATTTGGAGGAAATTGACGAGCAATGCTGGGGATGAGCGCCGAGTTGCAAGTCGGAACTTTTGGAGTCGACTCGAGGAACACGAATTTTGCATGGACCATGCAAAAGCGTCTAAGAAGTCTTGGTCAAGTTCAACGCCACTGAAATCGAGGCTTTCAAGAGCTGGAGCAGAAATCCATCCTAACACCTGATAAATACCGCGTTGCATATCAGGTTCCAGATTATTGAAGATATTGAAGGTAAGTGATTGCAATGAGTGCAACTTGACGCGATAAGACGGTGGTGCAAACTGTAGTGAGGTTTCCATTGCGTGAGGCGCAGTATCATCCAGGATACAGGATGTGAGATTCGACATTTTATTGAGAAATGATAGAGTACTCCCAGAGTTATGCGTGGGTTTCAACCGAAAGCGTAGAATCTGGGTCCATGGAAGTTCGGGAACCAAGTTCGGAGGACACTTTAACCAAATTTCCTCCAACACCGGTGCCACTTTAAAGACATCAACACATTTTTGCCACCCGGGACTCGACGGAGCAAAGAGGCTCATGATCTGATCACCCCGAATGGAAATGTGCAAAACACGGAGCGACAATAGAGTGGATTTGATTGGGATGAATTCGAAAAGGCGAGTGTTTTTCACAAATAAACGTTCCCAACGCTCCGAATGGCCCATGAGGTTGTTGAGCGGACTCATTGGCGTAGCAATATGTGGGTCAAGAAATCCTTCTGACTTGCGGAACTCGATTGCGACGGTAAGAGGATGATTCTGGGATCTTTCAAGTTGTTGGTCCAGGAGGTCGTACATTACTGACTCCGAATCTTCCCAGTCGATTGTGTTTGTAGTTATCAAAGATATATATGACCAGAATTGAGGCGATGACAACATGATTTCCCGCCAGCGAGAGCAGACTTGGGTTATTGCCAACAGCGTCCTCATGGGCTCGAGTGAGTTGATCATGGCGCGAGGTAGATACGTCTCCGGGAGCGACTTTCCGAGCTGAGGCATAGCCACCGTTCCAAGAATGTTGAATAGGACTTCGGTAGGGATTTTTCGGATGGGGTGAAGGATAGATCCATACGCACGCGCCTCTTGTTCAAGTTCTTCCAGTAATTCACCTTGGTGGATTACCTGAAGTCGTGATGAGATTTCATCTAGAACAGACGGTGATGGCTCCTGGTTAGACCGAATTAATTCCTGGATGTCGGGTCTTAGATATAGGTCAACGCAAGGCTTCAATTGTTCATTAGAAGATTCGTCGTT